TTGCTTACAAGTGAATTAAGAATACACTGGGTTTGCCATATTGCCAAATAATTTTGGTCAAACCATTTCTGTTTCAGTCATAGTTCTAATTCATATGTAAAAATAAGTGGATGCACTTTATTATGAGTGTTTCTCCATAATTTGAAAAGAATTCACATGGATTAGGCAGCAATGTCAGCTGAGAGAAAGCAGTAGAAAAATGAGGGAGAGAGGCAACTAGTCTGCAGGGATAGAGAGTTGTATTGCTTTGTTTTGGATCTAGGAGTAGAAAGAGCCTCGTTGTGCAGATAGGAATAATAGCTAGAAAATCATAATTAATTATAGGCCCCTAAAATTAGAATGAGAAGAGAGTTTGGAACCACATTACTTTAAGATGTGCATTGTAGTTGGCAACCTTTCCACATTATACTCCCCTTTGGTGTTCAGACCTGTGTTACCATGTCCCAGCTTCATTTGAAATCACAACCATTTCTTGACATGTTGGCAAAATGATGACAGCTTTACTCTTGTAACTAACATGGAGGAAGTAGGGAATGCAGTAAATTCAAAATTATTACCTATGTAACATTTCTGTATTTTTAATTTTTGATTTTTATTTTTACATGAGGAGTTATTTCAAAGCTGAATTCAGATAACCAGTACAGTAACATTCCAAAGACATGTCTTGTTATTGCTTCTCTTAATTTATCCATAGGAAGCTAATATTTTCTTATGTTATTTAACTTCTTGTGGGAAATTTAAATATCTACAGAATATGTTAAAAAAAGCTCTAAATACTGTTTGACTGAGTTAAAAGATTTCTGTTAGGGCTTCATCTTGACTGTGGATGGAGGATATTGGAAGGAAAAAGAAAAGCAAGCTTAAAAGAAGGTTGAAAGAAATCTGGAAGAAAAATTGTAAAGGAAGTTTAAAACAGAGATTGCTCAAGAATGTTTCTGATTTTCTCTTTCCATTAACTTACAAAATAGAGATGAAAATAATCTTAAAGGGAGCTATTATTTTACCAAATGCTCCATACAAAATCTCTGAAATCCTTACAAAACTCCTGTTTGTCCTTATCAAGCCAACAATTCCAGAAGTTTTTTACTATACTGAATTTTAATACCTTGGAGAAAGACATTAAGTGAGTGGATACACAGTTAGATATAATGTTTCTAGAAGATCAAATCCAATTTTTGGATAATCATATCAAAGACATAGTATTATGTAATCATTTGTGTGAAATGAGATGGAAAATTAAATTGGTTATGTAGCTCAAACACTACCTTCTAAAACTCAGGTTTGCCTTATAGTTTACTTGATTATTTTAAATAAGATTTTTGAGGAAGACCAATGATATCATTACTGTCAAACTTCTTCTATCCCTTAAGTTCTCTCAAATAGTTTACTTTCTTCATCTAGCAGGCAGATTAGCCACAAATCTTATTTTACTATTGTCAACCTAGAACCTTTATCTAATTTTTCATTATCTCAGCAGACTTGCCTCTCATTGTGAGCTGCTTCATAGGAAAAGATTTTCTTCTGGACAAATTAACTGTGACACTGCCATTGGTTTCCTCCCATCTTGTACAACACTTATATGTACCGATAAAGCAACAATTATTAACAGTATATTGTTTTTCACCTAGCAAGCTTTTAGTATACTTAAGGAACCTGGAAGTTTCATGAAACAGATTTTACTCATTATGCTGCAGTTGCTTTCGTTGTGTAATCATATATTATATATCAATTTTTATTAGTTGGCCTATTTACTGTAAGTTCAGAGGCTGTGTCTGCACAACTTACAAACCACTATTAAAGAAGTTCATAATAATTATTGTGAGATTTCTTCTTAAAATCCATATTTGCAGCATTGTTCTCAGATGTGGACAAGTTGTGCCAAGAATTTGAGGTTTAATCAGCATTTTTTGTGGGTGGATATAAAAAACAAAAGAATTTTGTAGGCGTAAACAGAAAAATCACATTTTTCTCTGAACAGCTGTATAATAGGCACTTCTAAAAGCTAAATAGTAAACACAGAAGGAAAGAGTTTCACACTATAGAATGTTAGGCAAAATATTTCTGGCTTCCATATTGTGGGAGTTATTATAGAGCAAAAAATACTAAGTAAAAATTGTCTGTATGCTTGGACAGCTGACACTTCAGGGAATAAGTTAGAAATCAGAATCCTTTTCAGAGCCATGCCGATTGTCAATCATTTATGGCTTTGGAATTAATTGAGAAGGGAATAGTACACACAAATGCTTTACGATTTACAGCTTGACATGCTTGTATTTTGTAAAGGTTTTTTGCATAATAAAGACTTTGTGCCATGTGTAAAAATCAGAGTTGTTTTTAAACCCTGAAATCATACTCACCTTAAAGTTGATTTATCATTCTTATATATATGCAATGTGTAACCCATAATACAGAGTTGATAGATAAAGGTAATATCTTTTTTTTGACTAATTATTATCACTGAAGAACATTGACAAACTTGTAAACACAGAAGCTTTCTTTATATCTGAAACAGAAAAAGAATGTTTCAAGGGCAAAGAACAGATGAAAAAAATTGCTTAGAGTATCAGAAATATCACATCTTTGAGAAGAAAGATAACTGGTAGGATACAGTTAGAGGAGATATTAGTGAAGAGTGGAAGAAAATAAATGAGTCATTCTACTATATGTGTTTGCAACAAAATAGTTGCAAATCCTGATTCAGTAATCTAATGTGGATGTGTATTAAAGAAATTTTTTTCATGGAAATAGTTTGTAATTTTGAAAGAGTTTTCATACAGAGAAAGGTTTCCAAATAAGGAGTACATTCTAACCCTTCCCCCACCCCCTCCAAAGATATAGTGTGACAATGGTGTTTTGGCTTGTGAAACACTCCCCAGTTTAAAAAAAAAAAAGCCCACATATTACTAATTGAATCTCTCTCTTTCACATCTAAAACTTTCCCCAGACACAAGTAGGTTTTGGGTTTGATTTTCTGAAATAAAATTTTTTGTTATTGAACATTTAATTACAAAAAATCTAACAAGATTATAAACTACAAATTAAACATTAAAAAGAAACATGTTAAAGGAATTTTTATTGTCCTGTTGACAGAGAACAGGAAAAAAATTGCTTCTTCTTGGTCTTGCTTTTGGTCAATGATTTTTTGACCACCTAGTCACTTCTTACCTCAGCTTTCTTGCTGTATTGAGGATTTGGCCTCTGATTTAGGCTTGACACCAGAAGTTTGTAGTTGCTATATTGCTGTTTTCTGTTCTCAGTGCCTTTTGGGGCAGATTTCTTTTACCATGTCACAAGTATTGCCAGTAGCAATGCTGAATTCCCTCAGGAAATACAAAACCTGTCAATTTAGGAATTTAAAAGTCTTTTAATTCGTGTTTTGTTACGATCTTCATATATGGTTGCTTGGTATAGTTATTTTTAAACTTCTCATAAGTTGACCCTAGGATATTCAAAGAATCATAGGGTCAGTAAGGTTGGAAAAGACCAGGAAGTCCAACTGTCAACCCAGCATCACCACCATGTTCAGCATTAAACCATGTCCTCAAGTGCTACAGCCACAAGTTTTTTGAGCACGTCCGGGGATGGAGACACCACCACTTCCTTGGGCAGTCTGTTTCAATGCTTTACAACCCTTTCTGTGAAGAAATTTTTCCTAATTTCTAATCTAAACCTCCTGTGGAGCAACCTGGGACCATACTTACTTTCAAGTATCTGTTCCAATTTTATTTTGATTTATCATGGATGGATCCATTTCAACATGAAAGACTGAAGCAGTCAAATCAGTAGCTAAGATATACAAGACCAGGATTCAGATCTACTCAGGGTCAAGCAGGGAGCAAAATGTATCATGGTTGTAAAGAGAGACTTTCTGTCTGCTGCTTGCTGACTGTGGGATTTACCCAAGAAGCATAAAACTTCAGTTCTTGACTGCTTTAGATGAGACTTCCACAATTCAAGTGAGAAGGCAAGTTCTGCCCTGAAATCAATGGATGGGTATTTGTTTGCTTAACCAGATAAATTTTATTTAGGATATTTGGAGGTTCAGCTTGGTGTATATGACAAAGCTTGTTAGTATCCATCTATCTGGATACTACCTAATCTCACTGGAAAAATAGGGCAGCAGCAGCTAAGCATTGTTTTAAAGATAGAAGTGGATTCTTAAAGAGATGGATTGGTCTCCAAGTGATTTTGAGGATCATATTCTGTTGAGAGAAAGTGCTTTGCTGTTGAGTCACTTCTTATCTGTATTCAGAGCTCTGACAGGCCATAAACAAACTTCTGACTCTCTCTACCTAAACCTGAGTGTGTGTGGAACAGTGTTGATGGGTAAAAGAAGGAAAAGGGAAGAAAACTAGAGTGCAAAATCCTGCACAAAGTCCACAACTTGTTAAGATTAGCACACTTTGTATTTTAGGATTAGAGGGAGGTTCCTATTAAAAATGGGTACCAGATTTCTCTCTCTCTACCTTTTTTTCACAGTAGGTAATAATGGAATTTCTTTATAATTCTGCTCCTGACATTAATAGAAAATAAATTAGGCCAATATTCTAGAAAGTTGAAAATTCTGTACAAATATTGATATTTGTGCTGTGATGGATATTTGTTGCTTACAGGATTCTTCCTCTTACTGTTGTTTTGAGTGTCCAAATGAAGATATAAGATTTTTCTGAAATAGACAGAGTATTGTTCTTAACATGACTGGTTTGATTCCTGTGGGTAACTTGCAAAGTAAGGTACAGAATCTGGTATTGACTTATCCAAAAGTGAAAATGTATGTGAGTATATTAATTTTTGTTCCTTCCCTTAGGTCTAATATATCTGTATTTTAATATCTGGTCATAAACCATAGTTGAGACTCAATGATATTCTGCAGTGATAAAAAATGAATTATTATTTACTAAACATGTCTGTGTAGAAGGCATGAATTATCTGTTGGCCTGATCACATTGTATTAGTACTGAAAAAATGCATTTATTTGTTTGTTTATTATGTATTTTCAGGTAGAGATTGAAAATCTGGACTATCATTACTTTCTGCCTTTGTTCTTTGATGGGCTTTGTGAAACGAAATTTCCATATGAGTTTTTTGCTCGTCAAGGAATCCATGACATGCTGGAACATGGTGGAAACAAGATCCTTCCTGTCGTTCCTCAGCTCATTATCCCAATAAAAAGTAGGTGAACATGTAGGAAGAAAATCCCTGAAATTGTAATTATGTGGTGTAGATTTTTGAAAAATTGCTAATTAAACTGTAAGACATGACAGCCTGTATATTTCATGAAGATTATTGCAAATGTGAGTAAATTTTAAGATTTAAGGCCAGAAGGCTTATGCCTTCAATTACTGCCCATGATATCTGCAGTAATCCAGAAGAATAGGCTATCTGGTTAGTGGGTTTCTTTATTACAGGTGGCTCTTGGTCTTTGGAAATGTGATGTTTTCTTAGCTGATTTTGTGTATTTATGATGTAGATCCATTACTGTATAGACCAATTCATCTAAACTGACAGGAGAAATTAAGAGATGGCATTTTAAAAATATTAATTTTGAAGGTTTAATATATTCATACCTGTTTTCTGTAGAATTATGTGAAAGGTAATAAATTATTTTAATACGACTGAAACTCCAAGTGTAGTACCACCAAAACTTTATTTTTTTGAAGGACCTAGTCTTTCAGATATATTGTTTTGTCCTTTCTTCTTTCTTTATATCAGTGCCTTGAAGAGATATTATTCTGAGCCATCATCCTTCTTTAGTTAGGTATTTTGATTCTTAAGCCTGCACACTACACCTATACAAATAGATGCTCATATTTGTTTAACTTGGCTTCTGTTTTATCGTTAATCATTAATGGTATCATTGCTGTGCTTTGTCCTGTTTCTCTGAGAGGCTTCAGCATCCATTCTAATACAGAGCAAAACAGAGTAATTGTATTTGTGATACAGAATGGAGTCAAGTACAGTTTTGAAAAAGAGAAAGTGAATGCAGTTTGGAACCTGATAATACTGAAATAATAGTGTTGGAAGGGTCAGAATTGTAGAGTTCTTCAATTTTTTCTCAAAAAAAGATTAATTATAGATGTCATTATCTCATCTTACTGTAGATTTTAAAAATGTCAAAATGAATATATAATATTCAGAACGGTTACTCTGCAACACTTGAGAAAGGTTAAGAAAACAACGTTACTGGTTTTTATCTCTAAAAGGGGAACATGTAAAGAGAAGAATCATGTCATTTCTTTAGAACTGTATTTTCGACACCATGCAAATATATTTATAGTGTTATCAATTTTTTGGAAAGTTGAAATAATTTCTTCAGAAAAGACTGCAAGTTTATGACAGCGACTATTTCATTAGGATTTAAAAGTCTTGCTGAGACCAGAATCTAGCTTAGAAGTAGTTACCTGGAAGCTTTAGGTGTTGCACAGCATTTAGCATTAAAAAGAGACCACTAGGTAAGGGTATTTCTATGGGTTTGATATATAGTCTTTTAAATTGAGTCATAATTTATGGTGCTAGAACATACTGAAGAATCTACTAGCTAAATTTAGTTGTTAGTCCTGCTTCTTTTATTCTCAAGTGCTTATTTTTTAATTTTAAAAAGGTTTCTGTATGAGCTTTAATGTATGAAGAGTCTAAGTATTATCAATGATAAAGGTTTCTTCCTAATTAAAGCCATATTAATATTAAAAAAGACACCACCAATCCCAAGAATCTGAAATTGCATACTTTTAAGGGTTTTTAAAGTTGCTATGACTGTGTAATATAGCAGTGTCGTCATAGCTATGCATTTCTGTGACTCGGCTGCATCCACAATAAACTCAGATATGTTTTACACAGATTACTGTCTCTAAAGTGTCCCACTGGGTGAGTTATGTCTGATTAACCAGTCTTCTTATAGACCATATTTCTACTGTGAAAGAGTGAATCAATTTATTGTTAGTCAAGGTAATATATATGATGAAGGAGATAAGGTTATAAGAAAGGCAGAATAACAACTTTAAAGATGGAATACTTTTAAAAGCAGTTTTCTCTCCTGCATGTTCATCAAATGAAAATATTAGTAAAGAGCTGTTCTCTAAAAACATTTTAAATTAAATGTTAGAATTCTGTATTGTATTTTAATGATTTAAGGCGAAATCTATCCCCACTCATCCTTGCTTAAATTTAGCACTTTTTGAACACTGTATCATTAGAGATAAAAATTATATTATTTAATCAATCTGTGTGTTATTGGAAGCCCAAGTTCTTTCAACAAATTTTCTTCTGGTAATAGAAACAGACAGTGATGAAGAAAACCCCATACACTTGAAATTAACAGGCCTGGTTTCTCTTCTAAAATACTTGAAATATTATTAAAATAATAAAGAAGAATTATATTTAGTTGTAAAATATTTGCTTTTTTTTGTTTTGTGTTTGACACACACTCTTTTTTATTTGAAATTCAGAGGAAGAAAAAAGCCCTCAGGTTGGAGATATTAGTTTCTCAAAGAGAAAAATATTAAAAATATATTTTTATTTCTCAAAATAAAAATTCAAAATATATTGTACCTTGCACTGGAAAAACATGATAAAATAGTTTATAAATATAGTCACTGCATGACATAAAATGCAGGAAAAATAAATTCCCTGTATTTGTCAAACTTGTAAAGAATCCAACTAACAATAAACAAAATGCAAAATCAGAAAATGGAATTAATTAATTAATTAACTCCCTTTCACAGAAGATATAGGCAAATCCATTTTCTGAGTTATTTAAACCTGAGCAAAGATTCATAAATTGAGACATATAGCCAATAGCAAAGTACTTTGGAGCAGTATCATGAAAGTTCTGACGCACAACACACAACCAAATGTTTTCTTTGCCAGAAACATCCATGTTGTTACTTTCAGATTGCAGACAGCTAAAAAGGCAGAAGAAGGAGACTAATTTTGCCCCATATCAAAAACTGGATTTGTGGCAGAGAACCAAACAGAACCACTGGAGTGGCAAGCAAAGATGCCTTAGGTTATGTGAGAATTCCTTTCTTTTCAGGGAGCAGAGGGATCTGTCTAGCCCTGTCATGTCTTTCAGTAATGTACTGATTTATCTTAAAATTCATGTGTGACCTAACATTAACTAACCAAGAAAATAGCCAGGAAGGTGCCTATTGTACCGTGTACTTGCCAGTGGAATACTCCTAAATTCTGTGGACATTATGGGAATGTGAAATTAATTTTGATACTCATTTGGAGGGCAGATTACTGCTTTTAATATTCCATGTGCCATAGCAAATGCCAAATCAGAAAAGCTCTAAGTCCTTTCTCTTGCTTTCATTACTCTTCTGCAACTCTCAGATTCCTGACTGCATAGTTCCCCAGCTTTCTCTGCATGAAACACACATGCAGACATAAACACTGAAGGTGCCAGAAGTTTCTACACCTTTGTCTAATATTTCTATGAGTAACATCAGGGACATGCAACACAGTGTGTGGAAGCACCTCCTCTCCTTTCAGAGGCAGCGAGCATGCTACCATTCACATTTGCTTTGCTGGCAGTGTAGTTATAGGAGTTTTCAACCCCTTCATGCACAAAGTCACCAATTGTTCCAGCTCCCACACTCTGACTTTTGCTAATGCATTTTTTTGTGGAGCAATTCAGTGAATCTCACATCTAGATGTATTAATAAAAAGGAAAAAAAAATCCAAATCCGAAATAAACCCAAAATATTTTCAGAGTGGCACTACTTTGAAACTCAGATCATTTCAATGGTCTAGTTTATAAATGCACTGTCACAAATGAAGTAATAGCACACAACAGGACAGAAGCTGGAGTGAGTGAGTAGAAATGATCAATAGGAACATCTTGATATAGCTTTGCTAAAGTAGTAAATAATGTGAAATTAAACACTTAAGCATCTTGAATCATCCATTTGCCAGAATCTTTTCTATTTTACACTGTGAATCCTAAAATGGATGTGTAGGCAATCTGAATTTAGACCCAAAAGCCAATAAAGCTCACATCTCTGCACTTAAATTGTAACTTAGATGGAAGTATTGTTTCTACACAGCTCTTCTGATTGAGTCCAAAAAAGAAAAATCTCCATCCTAAGGACCACTGAAGTTTTACTTTTTGAGGCTTTTTTCCATGCTATTAAAAATCCCTTCTGTGACGCAGTAGATCAAGAATACCTTAAACTTTGTTGAAAATATTTCATTAAGGGAAACAGATTTTTTGTGAGTCAGATCTAGAGAAATGAACAGAACATTCCTCCCTCAGTGTCACCTACAGAGTCCTTTTTAATTTTTAATAAATTTCTAAATTAAACTGATTTCTGTTTTTTATTTGCATGTAAAACATGGATTCTTGTTGTCTTGGACAACAGTGTAGTTAATTCCTCTTTAGTGTCAAATCAGTGTCACTGTTGCATTTAGATAAGTAAAGTTGAATGTGTTGCTAGCAGTTGTTCTAAGCCTGGTTATATTTACATTTCTTCTCATATATTTAAGAGTATTTAAAAGTCATTAAATACTTCTTTTCATTCTGCTGATTTTTATGGAATAAATGTAGTTTTCTGCTCTGTAGTCTTTTTCTTTCTGTAAATCCTGGAAGCTGATTTCTGTCATCTAAAGGAAGTAAATCGAACCTTTAATGGAATTGTTATCTTCTTTCTGACTGCTCTTGAGAACCAGTTCTGCTTGTTAACATCACAGACTGAAAAATAACTGTAAACAAGCTTGCTTTATAAGACTTAAAGTGTTTTTAAAGAAAGCAAGGGTCTCTGACTTTTTTTAAAATTTTCTTGATACTCAAATACTACCCTGTAAGTTTCATCAACCAGTGCAAGTGATTGCAATTAGGTTTATGTTACAATCTTCTGCTCAAAAGTGGTCATTTCAGGTATTTTCAAGTAGTATAGAAACTAGACTTTTTATTACTCCCATTTACTCCTGTCCATGAGGAAAAACTGTGTTTCTCATTCAATTGAGATAAATCTTGTCCATGTTTGCAAAGTGAAATGTGCTATTAACATCTCTGACTTTTGGAGTTAGAGCTATTCTCTCCTGAATTTATTAATTTATTAACATTTAGAATTTATTAGTAATGAATTTCATATGCCATTTTATCACCTCATTTAGAAGGACTGTAAAATCCTTCTAGAGTTCCTCAGAGTGAGCCCTTATCTTTGGCATCT